CAAAAGTACAGTCTAGATAGTGAAAGTTAAAATTGAGATTAAGAAGAAACACGTCCAATGTTAAATCAAAGTGCTCCAATTGTAAGTAAGCGAATCAGAGGTGTTGCAAAAATTGAATTCCTCAGCTATTTCACCGTTGGTAACTGATGGAATTACAGTATGGTGATGTCGGTGTGGGGTGTTATATTTCTTGGAATATTGGGCGTTTTCTTTTATATTCAAGCAGTTAGTTTATTCCCTGATCTTCACTTCGCCGAGGAAGCATCGGAAGCAGGTGTTGTACCACCTCTCACAAATGCGTATGTTTTTGATTATCTTGCTTTTTATTTACGATTAGCAAATTTATAAAGCCATTTTTAATGTTCACCTCAATTGGCAGTTTGTTTGCATATTTAAACTGTTCAATGGTATGCGGCGAGTTATGTTCCGATGTAGATTTTCAAACGAACATCTGAAATGAATAGCATTGAAGGGTTTCGAAGTCATTGTTATCTATATGCCTTTGGCATTTTCACGAATTTATTTTTCAGTATGATCGAGGACAAATACAGTGAGAAAGCTACGCAGTGTTGGGTGGCTGCAGGAATGTATTTGGTCACATTAATTGTCGTATTTTGGCAAAACAAATTCAACACGACAGCTATTTTTTGAGCCAGTTTTGCAACGATTTTATGACTTTCACACTGAAGTACTTATATATTGTCTATGAATAGTTTGAAATAGATTCTAAATTCTAAAAAGTTGTATATATGTATGCGGTTATTCATCTTTCTTCAGCATCCAAAGAAGAAATAATTTGATAAAACATTGTGAAGTTTTTGAAAAGATTGTGAATGGCTTCAATGTACTGTTCTGAGTTGATTCGAATTAGTAGGATTATGAAACCGTTCCGAAAATCTTCTATTTTTCAATTTCGCTGTTTGAACTGTGAACATTCGGCGCATCGTAACTTGAGAACGAATTTCCGAAATGTTCCAAAGTGAGGATAATTTCTCATACTAAAGTTGAGGGTGATCGTATTCTATTATGCGTCACTTCTAAGTGTAACGTTTTGTTGTTCCCTAAAAGTCAGAATATTCCCTAAGCGTGTGTTTCTTAGCCACCGTCAAGTATGAATCGGCCAAGAATTTGGTTCACTATCAAAAAATAATCTAGAAAGAATAATTTGTCACGAAATTTGACAATAATTTCATGGTAAATTGACTCATCACTTGTATTCGTTTCATATTCATTCCTTTTCAAGTGAACTGTGATTGCTGGATATTGTTTCTTTCGCCACAATTATTTCGTATTGCACTCGATTGCACGATCGATTTCGCATAATGTTGTTTTCTGTCTTATTTGCTAAGTTTCATCTGGGCAATCTCCAGTTTCTCGTTTCAGATTTCTATTCTATTGAATTTGTATTCGGTTATAATTTATTGCTTTGGATTTGTGTTCGACTATAAGACTTGTACTGTTATTCTGTGTGTATATCATCGTCTTAAAGACTTTTCCAAGACAGAACTCACTAAGTTCAGAAGTTTTAACCCCATTGATATTATAGACATATAGGTGGAAAGGTAGAATATAAGATATTGCTGGTAGTTCACAAAGCAAATTCCACGGAATTATCGGAAATCGAGTTGGACCAGTGTTGAATATTGTTCGATAGGATACTGTCCTGAATTTGAGCATGATTATGAACGATTAAGTGAGCTCAAGGATAAGGCTGAGTCCAAACCTGAGCTTAAGCTCTGCGGAAGTCGTTTTGAAGACTTGGGCTTTCCACGCTTACGCACTGGTCGTTGCTGTCTCCATATTATGATGTGATCATTTTCTTGTTAAGTAAAACACAGAGCTTTTGAGTTTCATTACGCTTTCCAGTTTTTCAAAGAGACCGAAAAATTCGAGTCATGATCATGAGTTTTCTGATGACTGAGCCAGTTCAGCCTCCATATTTTTTTACGTTGTGATATTGTTATCGTATGTAATTTAAAGAAACATCTTCAATAGGATTCGAATATTTACAATTGTTTTGTTCATAACATTACCAAAAATAAAATTTCAATTGTCACAATCGTTGAATAAAGCCTCCAATCAAAAACATATGAAACAACCAAGTGCTTAACTGAAGAATTTTGAAGCTAATAATAAAGCATCTCAAAACAAACGCGTGGAAATTACATTCCGGTGAAAAGATTCTGTGTCATGAAAGCTGTTCAGGGAGTATTAGAAAAAGAACAACATTCCAAATAAACGCCATCCAACGACATTCAGGGAGTTTGCTGAAGCATCAGTGATGTGCAAATTACCCAAAACGGGTAATTTCGAAATTACCCAAAACGGGTAATTTCATTTCCTATGAGAATCACTGTCCTAGACTGTTGTGTTATTCACTATTGCAATCGATTATGATTGCATGAAAAGCTATTGTCTAACTGATAACTGATACACACTCACTTCAAACTGATTTAGATGAATTCTCATTCTTTTCAGACGTGTT